TAAAATAAATAAGGTGTTAACCTTTTCTATAGGAGGTAAAAATTCCTAATCCGAATATAGTCGAGCTCCAATATAAACACCAGATATCGGGTGAGGAAAAAAAAGAGTTTTTCAATCAATATTGGAATGAACAGAAAAGGGATCGAACATATTCCCACCTTTTAATTAAATGTGAGATATATTACGTAATTTAATATGCATGGAATATTTTATTATATCAAATTAAATAAGAATTAGAATTATGTTAATCTTTGGTCCAAGGACATTGATTGATGTTATTCTTTAGTTTTACTTTTAGATGTATTTGAGACGAGAACATGTAATAGTTACGTGTTGTAGGCCATGATATGAGTTATAGTAGTAACAAATATTAGCAGTTACCTATGGTTCCAAACAGATTACCATAATTAAAAAGATTCAACACAAAATTATTTTCCATTACGAAATATTAATTAATCATGGGATACAACTAATCTTTTGTAACGATTTCAAATTTTCGGTAAAAGAATGTCACGACTCCCCCTTCGCCCCAAAGGTCAATTTTTTTTTCATGTATAAATATTATATGTAGAATCCCCGTATTTCTTTGCGTATTTTTATTTTTTTTAATTTTTGAATCTTCTTAGTGAAAATTCTACTTCCGTCACTGATCAAGAGTGTCCTTTAATTTTTGTTGGTTAATAAAGGTTAGCTCAAACATATATAATATTTGTTTGTTTCCAATAACTATTCAAACATATGAAATGAGAAATAATTTTTTGCTTCCAACTCCTTTTGATAATGCCTCTGCCAAAACTCCACTGTAGCTTTGCCCCTCTTGTAATTTGGACGATTGTGTGTGTGGACACCCTAAAGTTTGGCCTTCATTTTTGAATGAAACTTTTGTTCCATTAAGTGGAATTGGCTTATTTCTGACAAGCCTTCTGTCTCTTTCTTCCCCTTATTACAAACTTTAATCGATTTATAATGAAAGTAGGGGTATTAAATGGGCGAGTTGAATTGACTTTGGGCGGGTCAAAATAGATTGAGTCAATAATTGGACGGTCATTTGACCTGCCCAAAAGTTAGGGAGAAATTCAAAAATAGCCAGATTTACAAGTGGTCATTCAAAAATAGCCACAGTTTCAAAAGTAATCAAAATTTAGCCACTTTTCATGTAAAGATAAATCTGAACGAAAACACTGTTCAAAGTCCGGAAAATACTCCAGCATAATATACTGGAGTTCCAGCATAAGTATACTGGAACTCCAGTATATTATAATGGAGTTCTAGCATAAGTATTCTAGAACTCCAGTATATTATAATGGAGTTCCAGCATAAGTATACTGGAACTCCAGCATAATATACTGAAGTTCCAGTATAATATACCGGTCCAGCATAATATGCTGGAAATTCATACACAGGTGCTATCTCAGGTATATTATGCTGGAACTTTTCGCGTGTTGGAGTTCCTGCATAATATGCTGGAAGTTCATACACAGGTGCACCGATCTCCAGTATATTATGCTGAACCGGTCCCTGTTGCAGCAAAATAGTGGCTATTTTTCAATGACTTTGCAAACGCTGGCTATTTTTGAATGACCAGTCCGAAAATTGGCTAGCCCGTGCTATTTTTACCAAAAGATGGGTTGGCCAAAATGAGCTATAATTAGGTCATAGCCCAACCCGCCCAACTCTTATCAAACTTTACTTAATATGTGTTATGAATTATATAATTACTAAGCAAGACTTTTTTCCTTTTGTTATCGTCATATATAACATATCAAACAGAAAAAATATTTCTAAGATAGTTTGGCAAAGTTGGGTAAATTTTAAAAATAGCCAAATTTACATCTAGTCATTCAAAAATAGCCCAATTTCAAAAGTAATCGAAATTTCTTTTTATATAAAGATAAATCTGAGCGAAAATACTGTTCAAAACCCGAAAAATACTCCAGTATATTATGCTGGAGTTCCAACATAAGTATACTTGAACTCCAGCATATTATACTGGAGTTCCAGAATAAGTATGCTGGAACTCCAGCATAATATGATGGAGTTCCAGCATAAGTACACTAGAACTCCAGCATAATATACTGGAATTCCAGCAAGTATATTGGTCCAGTATAATATACTGGAGTTTGGAGCACCGGTGCTCCAGTCTCCAGTATATTATACTGGAGCCAGCAAAGTATACCGGTCCAGCATAATATGCTGGAGTTCATACACAAGTGCACCGAACTCCAGTATATTATGCTGGACCGGTCTCTATTGCAGCAAAATAGTGGCTATTTTTCATTGACTTGGTAAACGCTGGCTATTTTTGATTGACCAGTCCGAAAACTGGCTATACCGTGCTATTTTTACGGCAAAGTTATTCATGGATTAATTTGGGCTTGAATTCAGTCCAACTTTGGGTTAGGCAGGTCATTTGTGCTCGGAACAAATTTGACAGCTCTAAATGAAATGTAGTTATAAAACAAACCTATAAATATGAGAGTAAAATTTGGTTAATCTGAGGTATTTTGAAATGTGAAATTCACTGTATCAAGATGTTTGACCGAGTTCAAAGATTTCTTAGTCCACGCTAGAGCTCCACTAAAGTCAGTGACAAAATATAAGACGATTTGCTAACGACACAGATCTTAATGTCTCAAAAGTATAATGGAACGGGTAATTTTAAAATATTTCAATTAATACATGGGTAAATTGAATATTAATTAACAAGAAATTCATTTTTATAAAGGAAAAATAAAAAGAAAATCAAACTTCACATTTTTATTTCAAACCCCAAGAGTTGTTCTTATGGAATTACTTATTTCGGTCAAGAGAGAGTTCTTATTAGTCTACCAGACAAAGTGAAGAGAAGAACTAATAAAAGTACAGCTTTAAGTTTGGAGTAAAGAAAAGTAGAAACTAAAGTACTGAACACTGGAGTTAGGATTCCTCTGGTGAGGAAGGTACACAGCTAGGTAACTTCAAATACATATAGACACGAAGGCAAAGACAAGTTTATATTAAGAGGTAACAAAATATTTATTCTTTCAAATTCTTGACTTTTAGATATACCTATAATATAAATTAGATATATAGCTATTTTGATTATTAAGTATTTCTTGCTCATCCAAACCAAAATTAAAATTTTTGGACCTTTCATCTTTCTTAATCGAGACACTGCTTGGCTCGTGTCGTTCTAACAACCGACAAGGAGTATGATGTTTAGCTTAAAGTGTATATATTTATATGTATATCGGCTCATGTTTTACTTTTGTTTCGTGGATTTAGGATGTAAAATGGGTTGATTTATATTAATTTGAGGTATTTTTTATGTGTAGGAATTATCCGGGAGCAATTGGGAGCGAAAGGTGCGAGATTAGAGCCAAAACGGACGAAAAAAGAAAAAGTTGAATTTTCAGCGCCCCACACTACCTGTGGCGCCCCGGACAGAAGGTGCAATTTACCAGCGCCAGGGACGGCGCCTAGTGCTGGGCTGGACGCTGGTGGCGTGATTTCTGTCCAACTTCGCCCGGGACAAGGTTATTTCGGCCCAAGACTCCCCGAACTCGTATAAAAGGGGTCCTAAACCTAATTTGGAGGGGATCCAACATACTTTGAAGGAGAATTCACATGGAGGAACACACACCACGCTTGGAGGAGGCTTCTAACTAGTTTTTCTTCTCTTCTCTTCTTTTAATTTCATAGTTTATTAGTTCTAGACTTGTGGGATGCTACATGAATGTTGTAGTTTGAAGCTTGAATTGTTCTTATTATTTTATCATGTCGGTTTATTTATTCAATCTTGCGCTTAATTATTTGATTGTTTGATCGCCAATTGAATACTATCTACAAATCTAGGATTGAACTCGGGAGAGGGAAGTCTAGATTGCATATAAGATTGAGTAGAGCAAGATCTTAACTCTTAGGGGGACCGAATTTGTAGTTAGGATAGGAATATACCTAATCGCCTTGCTTGGTTACTATACAAGAATTATTAATGCGTTCTTGTTAATTCTAACTCTAATTCCATAGGAATATAGGCGTTAGGTTAGCTTGAATAGACGAGTAGTACTTCGAGAGAAGGCTACGAGTAATATTAATCCTGTCAATCAATAAACTAGATAAATTAGTTAGACAATTTAAGTGAAAAACTCAACGGGATTGTTAGCTAACCCATAACTCTACAATATCGTCTCTCATTGAATTCGTATCTAATTTCGCCAACTTGTTCCTTTAATCTCTTTGTTTGCTACTCTAGATTAGTTGTAGTTAATTAATCACACTTTAGAAAATCGCTCGAATAGATTAATTATCTTAGTTTAATTTAGTTGATAGTTAATCACAAGTCCCTGTGGGTACGATATCTGGACTTACAATCTGATATTACTTGTCGACCACGTATACTTGCGTGTGCGTTTGGGAGCAATAGAGTACTTCAGTATATGATTACACGTAGTAACTGGGCGTCCTATTAATCTCACCATCCACCCGAAAGAGACTGGGAAGACTATCTGCCTTCCTGCTCGAACCTTTGTTGCCTGAGTTATATAGCTGACTACGAGAAAGAAGGTTCAAGATATGGCCTATGAGATGCTCATTTAAAACCTTTGTTAGGAATTGTAACACTTTTTTGTAAGAATTCGAGTGGCTACTTCTAACAAGAATTAACCCAAATATCTAACCGCTTAAACTAAAAATAGCCGGTGTAGGTATATTATATCCATCATTTATGTATTATATATGTATAATTGTGTATAACCATTTTATAAATTATGTATATGATTAGAAAAAGTAAACAATGAATATGACCGGCTATTTGTATAAAGATCCCTTCTTCTAATCTCCACCTGGCCCACAAAGAATAGAATTCCTTATTGGGTCAAGTGCTGAAGAAAAGCTCGATCCTAATATAGTTGGTCGTTTAGTCTCACTATTTTGTATTGGGGAATTACCAGCTATGTCTATTTATAAGTAGCTCATTATAAAAAATGGCCAATTGATAAAATATTACTAATATTAGCCAATTAGCTATTTGTAACAGAAAAATAATATTGAGCTATGGCCGACACTGCTGCTCTCTTAATGGCTGTCACATCATTTCTGTAAACCATTTTGCTCCTATTATTTTCGCATAAAAATTTACCCATAATCTTTATGCTCTGTCCCATCACCATATTCTTCCAAATTTCCTCTGCTTCTTCCTCTGCATTTCTCTGTTTCCTCCTAAAAACTTCTGTTACATCTAATCTTTGAATTTTCCATCCCTTAACATTTATTAGTCTCTTTATTTTCTCTAGTTGTTGACTAGCTAGTATACAGTTATTGATCTTCACTTCATTAATAGCTTCCTTTAGTAGCATCTCGCGCGTCTCCACGTCTACTGAGTTTGATAATTCAGCTCGAAAATAACTATCGAATTCTGGTACGCCAATTGCTTTGTTTTGAGTGGGTGCTATTAGAATAGATTGGGCACAACTTAAGGAGCTTGAATCTCAGTTTTCAGATGATTTGGTGAAGTTTTGAGGTGGTTTGAATTGAAAATTCGAAGTAAAAGCTGAACATGAAAAAAATGATGTGTATCACATATGTATCATATTTGTATCAATTGTTTATCACATGTATATCCATGTATACCTGTGTGTGAGATACATGCGTGATACATGTTTGATACATGTGTCGTAGAAGACTTTTTTGAACTCGATTTAATTACGAACTTCGATACAAAACCAGTCCAAATCACCTCCAATCTTCCTCAAATTTTGTATATTTACTTATTTATATATTTTCAATGAATTTCAACTATACCTATTGGAAAAGTTCCTTTTTTGTTTAGATTATTAGAATATTGTATAGATTTTTGTATTTCATCACCTTATTTGCTACCCCGTCCATGAAATTTCCTTTTCGTCTTGTATCCAATGTTGCTAATCACGCTTAAAAATATGGAAGGCAATTTTTGCATGTGATTCTTTGAGAGAAAGAACCCTATTATTTGGTTTTTCAATTTTTGTTGGCTAGTTTTGGTAAGTCTATGACTAATGGCTAGAGGTCGGTAAGTTGAGATTTATTTGGAACATTTGTGTAAGTTTCCCTTTAGTATTTACTAACTCCAGCCCATACAAGGCAGAAGAGTTACAGAAACTATGTTATTAATTCTAGATTGAAAATTATGTTTTGTTGTGCATTCACATGTTGAAATTCAATATTTTTTTGTTAATTGCAATACAGAATTTGAAAAAAAAAATTGGGTTAATTTTGTTGTTTTACTGAATATTGGAAATGAAAAAAGTGAAACAACACAGTAAGACGGAAGCAAACAGGGCAGCATGGTTACTAAGTTCCCGTAATACGCGGGGTCCGGTGAAGGGCCGGACCACAAGGGTCTATTGTACGTAGCCTTATCATGTATCTCTGCAAGAGGCTGATTCCACGGCTCGAACCCGTGACCTCCTGGTCACATGGAAGCAACTTTATCAGTTAAAACGGAAGCAAACAAGAGGACAACTGTGAAATCCTACTAGTAGGGACTTAGGAGGGTAGTGTATACGCAGACCTTACACCTATCTCGAGGGGTAGAGAGGTTGTTTCCGAAAGACCCTCGGCTCAAGAAGACGAAAACAATCAATATATCAATACCATCAATCAGTGGCGGATCCAGGATTTTAAAGTTATGGGTGCTCGGCGATAAAAACTTCAAAAGAAGAGGAAAAATGAATTTACTTATGGGTGCTCGCTCAATATTTATCTAAATATTTGTACAGTTGCCTATATAAATTTATTAATATGGTCAAAGTTAATGGGTGCTTAAGCACCCACAACTTCCTAGGTGCATCCGCCACTGCCATCAATAAAAACCATAGAAAAAAAATAACACCATCACAGAACCAGAAAATAGATGGAAAGCAAAATAATAACCATAAATAAAGCCCGGCACTAAGAGGAACGAAAGACTAGTGAGAACTCAACACTAACCACTAGCAGTCTAAGACTAAATCCTAACAGATTAGCCTCACTCTGGTGCGCCACGAGGACATAAAACTTATTTGAATCTTAGAACCCTGTGATCTCTTGACTAATTGATATCAGGACTTCTTTTGGTTTAGGATCTACACATAATAAAATTTTCTGGAAAAAAGAAAGAAAAAAAGACCAAAAAAAAGTATTCTATTCTAAATGCCACTTGCATCATAGATAAAATTAATGTAACAGAATTATATATAGTAACAAAATGAATGACAAAGGATTACTACTACATAAAGTTAGCATCAAATAAAGTAGTCTAAGCTAATTAGTTATTACGTTTTACATCCAAATGCCTCTATGAAATATTATTGTATATATATCATCTTCACTTCCATCTTCTCCATCAAAATCTTTTCTCATACTATCGCCAAAAGAGCAAGCCATTTTATAAAAATGGTGTACAAGATAGAAAAGATTTCAATGAAAAAGATAGAAAGTAAAGATATTCGATACACAAATTCTAGTATCCAGAACGTATTGGCCTGACTAATCTGTATTTTGAGTTACACAAGATAACAATCAGCTTTGCGCTATATAATGCTTTACTTGACAAACCTATGATTAGGAAAACAAAGACGGGTGATCTTTTTATACTACTGTCAGCCACGAGAATAATTCTAAAGAAATATTTCATTTGGAAATTCATTTATGATCAGGAAAAATCAGATTTGTATTGTAATCTAGATCCTACAGTTACCATTTTTCAGAAAAAATATGCTATTTTTTCTTTTGTTATTTTCTGTTCTTTAGAAGAATATTAGGTAAATCATTAATGAGACATGGTATCATATCTTGACATATTGAGTTTTAAAGTTTCTTATACTACTACCAATTAAATGTGATACCCAGTGTGAATAGGCAAGTGTTAAACTTGTTTGAATGGTTGTTACCTATTGTATTGTATCGTATTGTTAATTTAAATACAAAGTTGTTTTGATGATCGCTTAAGAGAGATTCTTGCATCTCTACAATGAAATGAAAAGGAGCTTCAACAATTCATAAAAGATTAGGTGTTAGCAACGTGATTTTTGCTACAAAAATCATACGAGACTACGTAATGTTATAGCAACGGAATTTTTGCGATTCTAAGGAGTACGGTGCAATGTTTCTCAAGAATATTATACATTTTTTCCTACTTTGATCCGCCATTACGTGTTTTTCGCAAAAGATATGTGTTAGAGGGGCTGTCAAGAGAATCGGCTCACGTATGTTAAGGCTAATCCTTCTTTCTTTTGGCATGATCCAAGTAACGATACGTAAACGTAATGCTATTCCATAAGTGGTTCTACTCTTAGCAGTTAAGGATGTCTATGTTATTCATTCCTGTAAAGTAATATTCAAGCATGTCTAAGTATGTTCCTAAGTCTCTATTGAGGTGTATGATAAAGATGTTAATGTTCATAATATAGTGATACATGCATCTTCATGCATTTAACACCGTGCTACGGCCGGTTGGGCAGCCATGCATATTCATTTACCACCGTGCTACGGCCGGTTGGGCAGTCATGCATCTTCATTTACCACCGTGCTAACGGCCGGTTGGGCAGACATGCATTTACCACCGGCTACGGCCGGTCGGGCAGTTACCACCGGTTAGGCAGTTATGTATCATTATTTACTACCGGTTAGGCAGTCATACATTTACCACTGTGCGATGGCCGGTCGGGTAGTTACCACTAATAAGTTGGGCAGTCATGCATCATACTATATGGATAATAGAAATAGTCTCAAAGAGAAGCATTATATATGTAAGTATAATAAGTATGCATATACGGTGACACTTCAGAGATTCAGGTTAATTCTTATATATCTTTAATTAATGTTGACTTATTGTTATGTTTCAATTCTGCCTTACATACTCAGTACATTATTCGTACTGACGTCCTTTTGTTGAGGACGCTGCATTCATGTCTGCAGGTATAGATATCAGTTTGACGAGCCCTTATAGTAGACGAGATTGGCATTCAGCGAAGGATCGGTAAGACTCCACCTCATTCGGAGTGCAGCCGGGTCTATGAGTCATCATGTCAGAGTTTTGCTATAGACTTATGGGTAGGCCGGTACCTTGTCCCATTTGATGTCAAATAATGTTAGAGGCTTTATAGACATAGGTTCATTTTGTACAGTATGTCAGAGGCCTTGACGGCCCACATGTATTCATGTTTTAAGAACGATGGTTCATTGATATAGAGTTGTGGCCCACTTATAGTTATACATTACGAGTTGTGGCCATGTTGGCCCATGATAGTTACAAAAAAAAGAGTTACAGAGTGGTTTGCTCTGGCCAGTACGGCACCGGGTGCCAGCCACGCCTCCCCAGGTTTGGGGCGTGACAAAAACATTTTCCAAAACACCTTCTCAACCTTCCCCACCCTATTCCCCACCCTCACCAACCCACTCCACATCCACCCACCCAACCCCACCCCCTCTCTCCTAAATTTTTTTTACCGTCACCACCCACCCTCGCTGCCCCTTGCATTTTTTTGTTAGTTTCAAATTTCTTGTTTTTTTCGTATTTTCTGCACCACCCACCCACCACTACCCCCCACCTCGCAACTTAAAAAAAAAGTTTTTTTTTTTTTTACTTTTTTTTATTGTAATCTTCTAAAATTTTTGTTTTTTTCGTTTTTCTGCACCACCCCACCCCACTCGCCCCCCTCCCCCCAGCCCGCAACTAAAAAAAAAAGTTTTTTTTTTTTTAACTTTTTTTTTACGTTTTACGTTAATTCCTTTTACTAAACGTTTTTTTACGTTTTTTTCGGTTTTTCCTTGACCCTACCCACCCCACCCCTACCTCCGACCCCCTCCCCTACGTACCTACTTAAACTTAAAAAAGGTTTTTTTTAACTTTTTTTACGAAGTTTAATTTCTGGTTTTTTCGTTTTCTCGCCCATTCCCCCCCCTACCCCCCCCCCCCCGGTCCAGGAAAAAATATGTTTTTTTATATATTATCAGTTTTAGTTTTTTCATCTTTCGGTTTACAGGTTAGAAATTCTACAAGTTTCAAAGTTATGAGTTCGGAGGGTTATGTGTTTGGAAGTTTATGGTTTTAGAAATTATAAAGTTTACGGGTTCGAAAGTTTATGGCTTCATGTTTATTGCAGTGGCAAAGCTAGAAATTTTTCCAAGGGTGTTCAAATTTAAAAGAAGTGAAAAAAATTTCCGACAAAGGGTGTTCAATATGTGTCTCTAGAATTATTTATGAATATTCTTGATAAGTTATTTTCCTTAATTTGCGTACCAAACACCGGAAAATGAATAAAATTACTATTTATTTTCCAAAAAAATATTTTCTTGGAATATATTTTTCACAAAAAATATTTTCCGTTATACCAAATACATCCATAACATTTGTTTGTTTTCCAAAACTATTCACACATATGAAATGAGAAATAATTTTTTGCTTCCAACTCCTTTTGATAATGCCTCTGCCAACACTCCAATTTAGCTTTGGCCCTCTTGTAATTTGGACGATTGTGTTTGGATATGGTGTGTGTGGACTTTTGAATGGAACTTTTGTTCCATTTAGTGGAAATGGCTTATTTCTGACAAGCCTTTTGTTTCTTTCTTCCCCTTACAAACTTTAATCGATTTATAATGAAAGTAGGGTGTCAAATGGGTGGGTTGGATTAGTTTTGGACGAGTCAAGATAGATTGAGTCAAGATGAGCTAAAATTAGGTCATAGTCTAACCCGCCAACTCTTATCAAGCTTTACTTAGTATGTGTTGCTTTCTTATGAATAGTATAATTACTAAGCAAGATTTTTTTCTTTTGTTATCGTCTTACATAACATATAAAAAAAAAAAAATTCTAAGATAGTTTGGCAAAGTTATTCATGGATCAATTTGGGCTTGAATTTAGTCCAACTTTAAGGGTTGAGATAAGTTTGGTCAAGATGGGCTGAGTTTAATAAATGAGCAGGTCAATAACTAACTCAACCTTCAACGGATTGGGCGGGTCATTTGGGCTTGGGCCAAATTTGATAGCTCTAAATGAAAGATGGTTATAAAACAAACCTAAAAATATGAGGGTAAAATTTGGTTAATGTGAGGTATTTTGAAATGTGAAATTCATTGTATCAAGATTTTGACCGAGTTCAAAGATTTCTTAGTCCACGCTAGAGCTCCACTAAAGTCATTGGCAAAATATAAGACGATTTACTAACGGCAAAGATCTTAATGTCTCGAAAGTATAATGGAACGGGTAATCTTAAAATATTTTAATTAATACATGGGTAAATTGAATATTAATTAATTATAAATTCATTTTTATAAAGGAAAAACAAAAAGAAAATTAAACTTCCCATTTTCGTTTCAAACCCCAACAAGAGTTGTCCTTATACAATTACTTATTTCAGTCAAGAGAGAGAGTTCTTACTAGTCTACTAGACAAAGTGAAGATCAGAACTAACCACCAAAGGATGTGATGCAGTGGATGAGATTGTTCTTTCCTCAACCAGAGATCTCGAGTTCGAGCGCTGGGTATGGAAAAATCCTTGGTGGGGAGCGCTTCCTCCCGAATGGGCCCTACGCGGCGCGAATCCGAATATAGTCGGACTCCAATGCGGGTACCGAACACCGGGTGGAAAACCAAAAAAGAAGAAGATCAGAACTAAAAAGTACAGCTTTAATTTTTGAGTAAAGAATAATATAAATAAAAGTACTGAACACTTTTAGAGTTAGGATTCCTCTTGTGAGGAAGGTACACATCAGGGTAACTTCAAATACATATAGACACGAAGGTAAATACAAGATTGTATTAGGAGGTAATAAAATATTTGATCTTTCAAATTCTTGACTTTTAGGTATACGTATAATATAATTAGAAATAGCTATTTTGATTATTAATCATTTCTTGCTCATCCAAACCCGTGTTTAAACTTTTGGACCTTTCATCTTTCTTAATCGAGACACTGCTCGTGCTCGGCTCGTGTCGTTCTAACAACCGACAAGGAGTACTTCAGTATATGATTACACATAGTAACTGAGCGTCCTATTAATCTCACCATCCACCCGAAAGAGACGGGAAAAACTATTTGTCATCCTGCTCGAACCTTTGTTGCATGAGTTATATAGCTGACTACGAGAAAGAAGGTTCAAGCTATGGCCTATGAGATGCTCATTCGAAACCTTTGTTAGGAATTGTAACACTTTTTTGTAAGATTCGAGTGGCTACTTTTCTAAGAAGAATTAATGCCATCCACCTAACGGCTTAAACTATAAATATTCGGTGTAGGTATAATATATGCATCATTTATGTATAATTATGTATAACTATCTGATAAATTATGTGTATTGCTGGAAAAAGAAAATAATAAATATGACCGGCTATTTGTGTAAAGATCCCTTCTAATCTCCGCCCGGCCCACAAAGAATAGAATTCCTTATTGAGCCAAGTGCTGAAGAAAAGCTCGATCCAAATATAGTTGGTAGGTTGGCCTTACTATTTAGTATTTACTAAATCCAGCCCATACAAGGCGAAACTATGTTTATATTAAGGAATTTTTACCTCCTATAGCAAAGGTTGATACCTTATTTATTTTAAATAAATATCCTTTTAAAAAATTATATTCTATAGATACATTTTGATTTTCATAGCCAAATATCTATTTATAGTTACCTCCTACTCTTAAGCCATAAAATACTCTTTGTATTATTTTTCTCTCTCATTCTTTCAGATTTTTCTCCACTCTCTCTCTCTCTCTCTCTCTCTCTCTCTCTCTCTCTCTCTCTCTCTCTCTCTCTCTCTCTCTCTCTCTCTCTCTCTCTACGCCAGTATTTCTCCATGGTTATCTCCTCTCTCTCAACAAATGTGTATGCATTAAAGGGAAAAAACAGATACTGATTCTGATCGGAAAAAGAAGTTGAATTTGGTTCAAAATCAAATCTTTTTCAACAAATCTGCACAAGTTCTTTGCATAGGGCTTCTGAAATTCCCCTGGCAGTACTTCCAACCATGTCTCCTCAACCAACAGTTCCTCTAACTTCACATATCTTACGCTATCACCATTTGCGTTTAACTTGGAGATTTTATCAGAGCACAGTTTGAGGTTCATTTTGGCCTTTGCAAGCGATTTATTGAACTCCATTCTCGACTTTTGATCGGACGTGAGCATTGTATCTTTGGGGTCTTTGTTGCCGCCGTCTTCACCCGACAATGAAGATGACAAGGCGCTGGAAATGAAGTTGTCAGCGGAAGATGGCGAGGAGACCCGTTTTAGCCGCTTTGCTGCATGTTGCTTGAATAGATCCATTAGAGTTTTAGGGTTTTTCATTGTAATTCAANATCTGGAGTAATGATGGGTTGAGCATAAAGGTAAATAAAAAGAAGTGTGTATTAAAAGTTCTTAGGGAGGTTAGTCACTATATCCAAATATATCCTACCCGTCTCTTAGCCTACATTACAACCTATAAAGACCTCTTGATCTTTGACTGAATGGCTCGATTAGTAGAATGTATTATATAATTTCTTTGAAGATTGCTATGTTTTAGGGGTATTTTTCGGTTGAGAATCTTTTTTATAACTGAAAATACAAAAATTGTGTGTTATAATTGAGTTTGTTGAGTTATATTAGTAGTCTATTATGTTAATTGATTCACTTTCCATTTTAAAAACAGTGTAATCCCCTATTTCACGCCGTGAATACAGTCGAATACAGTTGAATACAATAATCTGTCCAGCTGTAATCCCATGTTTCACTCCATGAATACAGTCGAATACACTCAAATACAACAACTGATTAGCTGGACTTCACTGATTCACGCCTATTTTTGCTACTGTATTCATGAATACAATAGCTTGAATACATCAAATACATCTTATAACCACACAAAAGGTATCTATAACCCGTAATATAGCAAATGATATCTATAGATGGCTAATTACTACAAAAAGATAGTGCTTTATGAAAATCCAGGTATGTCCATATATAAGTAGCTCATTACAAAAATTGGTCAATTCATAAAATATTACTAATATTAGCCAAATATTACTAATATTAGCCAATTAGATATTTGTAGCAAAAAAATGTCAATTTTTTGCTTTCTTTTGAGTGGGTGTTATTAAAATAGATTGGGTACATCTTAATTCTTAAGGAGCTTGAATCTCAGTTTTGGGATGATTTGGTGAAGTTTTGAGGTGGTTTGAATTGAAAATTCGAAGTAAAAACTGAACATGAAAAAAAAATGATATGTGTATCACACTATGTATCATTTGTGTATCACATATGTATCATATTTGTATCAATTGTGTATCACATGTATATCCATGTATACCTGTGTGTGAGATACATGCGTGATATATGTTTGATACATGTGTCTCAGCAGAATTTTTTGAACTCGATTTAATTACGAATTTTGATACAAAACCGGTCCAAATCACCTCCAATCTTCCTCAAATTTTGTATATTGACTTATCTATATGTTTTCAATGAATTTCAACTATACCCATTGAAAAAGTTCCTTTTTTGCTTAGATTTTTGGAATATTGTATTTTTTTTTTTTTTTGTATTTCATCACCTTAGTTGCTACCTCATCCATGAAATTTCCTTTCTGTCTTGCATCTAATGTTGCTAATCACGCATAAAAATATGGAAGGTGATTTTTGTGTGATTGTTTGAGAGAATCTTATTTATTTGATTTTTTAATTTTTATATGTACTTGGCTAGTTTGGTAAGTTTATGACTAATAACTAAAGGTTGGTAAGTTGAGCCTTATTTGGGACATCTGTGTAAGTTTTCCCTATATTAATTCTAGATTTGAAAATTATATTTTGTTGTGCATTCACATGTTGTTAAGATTTAATATTTTTGTTAATTGCAATACTGAATTTGAAAAAAAAGAGAGGGTAATTTTGCTGTTTTACTGAATATTGGAAATGCAAAAAATGAAACAACACAGTAAGAAGGAAGCAAACAGGGCAGCCTGGTAGCTCCCCTTATGCGCGGGGTTCGATGAAGGGCCGGATCACAAGGGTCTATTGTACGTAGCCTTATCCTGTATTTCTACAAGATGCTGATTCCAAGGCTCGAACCCGTGACCTCCTGGTCACATGTCAGCAACTTTACCAGTTAAGATGGAAGCAAACAAGAGGACAACAACAACAACAACAACAACAACAACCCAATGAAATTCCACTAGTGGGGTCTGAGAAGGGTAGTGTATACACAGACCTTACCCCTACCCCGAGGGGTAGAGAGACTGTTTTCGAAAGACCCTCGGCTCAAGAAGACGAAAAGAGGCAATATATCAATACCATCAATAAAAACCATAGGAAAAAATAACACCATCACAGAACCAGGAAATAGATGGAAAGCAAAATAATAACCAATAGATAAAGCCCGGACTAAGAGGAACAAAACAGTAATGAAAACTCAAAACTAACCACTAGCAGTCTAAGACTAAATCCTAACAGACTAGCCTCACTCTGGTGCGCTATAGAAAACATGATGACATAAAACGTATTTGAATCTTAGAACCCTGTGATCTCTTGACCAATTGATATCAGGACTTCTTTTGGTTTAGGATCTACACATAATAAAATTTTCTGGAAAAAAAAAGAAGAAAAAAATACCCAAAAAAAGTATTCTATTCTAAATGCCACTTGCATCATAGATAAAATTAATGTAACAGAATTATATATAGTAATAAAATGATTGGCAAAAGATTACTACTACATAAAGTTAGCATCAAATAAAGGAGTCAAAGCTAATTAGTTATTACATTTTACATCCAAATGCCTCTATGAAATATTATTGTATATATATCATCGTCACTTCCATCTTCTCCATCAAAATCTTTTCTCATACTATTGCCAAAAGAGCAAGCCATTTGAAAAAAATGGTGTACAAGGGGAAAAGATTTCAATGAAAAAGATAGAAAGTGAAGATGTTCAATACACAACTTCTAGTATTCAGAACGTATTGGCCCGATTAATCTGTATTCTGAGTTACACAAGACAACAATGAGCTTTGCGCTATATAACGCTTTACTTGACAAACCAATGATTAGGAAAACGAAGACGGGTGATCTTTTTATACTACTGTCAGTCACAAGAAATAATTCTAATTGAATATTTATTTGGAAATTGATTTATGATTAGGAAAAATCAGATTTGAATTGTATTCTAGATCCTACAGTTACCATTTATCAGAAAAAATATGCTAATTTTTTCTTTATTATTTTCTATTCTTTAGAAGAATTTTAGGTAAATCATTAGTGAGACATGGTATCATATCTTTACATACTGAGTTTTAAAGTTTGTTATACTAGTACCAATTAAATGTGATACCTAGTGTGAATAGGCAAGTGTTAAACTTGTTTGGATGGTTGTTACCTATTGTATTGCATCGTATTGTTACTTTAAATATATGTTTGTTTTAATTGTTACTTGAATTTTATTGTATCGTATCGTTAAATCTATCGTTACGTAACGACAAAAAGTGTCACTTTATGGAATCACGAATTTGGTGTGGTGGCATTGTTACCTTGCTTTTTTCTCTTATCTTGCCCTTCCTTATTATTAAATCATCATATTTTATCCTTTACCATACTTTTTTTATATAGTAATTCTACTCCGTGTCCTATTTTTTCTTAGTAAAATTGCAAGTTTATTCTTCATATTGTTGGTGCGTGGCATCATAAAATGTCGGCAAACGATATAATCTATCCAAACGTTGTATTAATAAGATAATACAATACAATATATTACAATACAATACGATACATTATAAAACAATATGTAATAACAATCCAAACAAGCTAGTGATTATATGATTACCTAATGTATCTTTGAACATATTATTGGATGGAGTCGATTTTAGAGTTTCAGAGTGTATGGACTATCACTACTAGAAAATAGCGAAAACCTTCCAGGAATGAAATCGATCGGAAAACTTCAAAAAAGCGATCGATTTCCGACTGATTTTAATCTGTCAAAATAAGGTTGGTCGGTGATAAATAATGACCGAAGTCAGTCGCAATTTTCGACCAATCCGGTCGGTCAATTAAATTTCACAACCGACCGGAAAAAAAATCTACCGAAAAAATCGACCGAAGTCAGTCGGTATTTTTAATTATGTAATTAAAAAATACATGATGATAGGCTATAATTACGTATTTTAGTCGATTATTACACTCTAATTTACTGCACTTTAGTTGAGTTTGCGCTTTAATCGCTAGTGTTTTGCACTAACAGTGTGTTTTATGCCTTGTAGGAGTGATTCCGAGCTATATAGATGTTATGGAATAAATTCAAGTGATTTGGAGCTTTGAAGTCTGAGTAAAAGCCCAAGGAATTAAGTCGGGATCGTGTCAGAGGTCAATTTTGATAGTTAAGAACAAACGAAGACTCGAGTAGGCATATTGCACACTGTTTAGTAAAATGAATATAACTTTTTTCTCAGAACTCCATTTGGGCTCCACAATATATAGTTTGAAAGATAACTCAAAGGACTACAACTTTGAGTTTTACGTTTTTACAAATTCCACACGAAACAGAGTGAAAAGTGCGCGTCAATAGCGCGGCCGTGCTCAGGCCGCGCTCGTCAGGCAGAATACTGGGCAATATGCGCGGCCACTAGCGCGGTCACGAGCGCGGCCGCGCTAGTCAAACCCGGGAAAAGTGTCCTTTTTTACATTGGAGAAGGTATAATTGTTTGGGCCGAACCCTACTTGGTATATATACATGGGAAAATGGTATTTTGAGGGAGGGAGACCAATTTTTGACACAGATTCGACCTAAGGAGGCAGAGACACAATAGGAGCAAGGCGGGGAATTCTTCTACGAGTTTTTCCTTCCTCTTACTATTTTTCATTGTTGGTTATGAATTTTAGTATTCTAGTTTTACATACTATTATGAATAGCTAATTTGTTATCTAGAGTTTTGATAGAACCTTTTGTAGGATAAATTCTTGTTATGTTTTTATATAATTGAGCCGTAGCTTTTCTCTATTTGTTCAACTACGTTTATATTGTGGTTGGTTGAAGAGATCTCAATTAGCTGTGCCTATTTAGTATGTATTACTCAGGAGAGAGTGCATATTTAGGTAGTTGTTGAACAACATCACTCCCGACGTATGTGAGGAATCAATAACCAAGGGTTTAAAGGTGGGATTAGGGATAACGAAACCTTGGGTGCGATCTAAGTGAGCTGTAATTAAAGTCAGCTAGCGTAACTCGGGAGAGTATGTCTAGTAAATTATCGTAATTACTCGGGAGAGAATTGCAACACGCAGAGCGCTCATGATCGGTAGAGAGTACTTAAGCAAAATTATAGAAGACATAGCGGGAAGGATTCCGACTATTGGGGAAATCATAACTCTAGACCTCCTTAATCTTTTCTCCAACCTGTAGTATCTTTAGTGTTAATTTATTATTTTAATTTGTTAGTTAGTTAGTTAAACACAAGAATCTTAATATCTATAAGTTAGGAATTGTTCAAGCTTGTATTCTTGGTGATAATGAACAACTGTAGCTAAGCCTTAGTTCTCTGTGGGATTCGACTCCGGACTTTTAGACCGGATTATATTTGCAACGACCGCTTATCCTTTTTAGGACTAGAATTGGGCGTGATCATTAATATTTAAGTAATATTATTTTAACAAATGTATAAGTCTTTGTTTGTTTGAGTTTGAGCCTCTGTTTTGTATGTGCTTCGCCAAAGTTATGTGGGCGTTAATGTATTGCTTCAGGTTGGAGTTTTAAATGGTATAACTTTATTTAACTGAACTGTGAAGGTCGCTAGGCTTGATATTTGGCAGTAAAACTCTTAATTGTTAATAGCTCATCCTTTCTCTATAAAGGAAAGCAAGTTAAGTGACTGGGATTGAACAAGGAAATGGAGAAATTTTATTTTCTTTTAGCTTATTAGAATATATTGATATTACTATATTTTAGTAAAGTACTAAAATAAAACTTGAGTAATAAAACCATCATTTCACGATTATCTCAATCATCACAATCAACTACGACCATATTGTCCTACTGTTCACATTCTGGTATGTATAGCTTCAAATCGAATAAGAAATACTGAATCGTGCCGAACCAAACAAGAAATATCGAACCGTATTGAAACTAACTTTGGTCATGTATTTGATATATATAATTGATAAACCAAATACCGAAATATCAAACCTAAGTTCTTACATACCAAATTGAAGTACCGAACGCTCACCCCTAGTTCTTTTATGGTTAAAGCTTTTATCCTGTTCTATATTCCCCCAAATCAAAAAGCTTTTATCGCTCCTCTCTTTTAGTCATCTAACTAATCAAAGCTAAAAATCACAAAATCAGTAGAATGATTCTTTGTCTTAAATTGCTAAGTGGCCTATTGTGAGGTTGTCACGTGGCTTAATGTGGAGCCTTTTCCCCTCCTTTTAAATTTTGAATTAGTATTGGGGTTAACCCACAGAAAGGGAATTAATATATCATTTGAGAAAATTTACAAAATGTAAATAAAATATATCAAAAAGAGTACTTTACATCCAGCATATATCTGCACTTAAAAACCAAGCATTTCTTCGCTTTTAAAATTTATCATATATGAATCAGGGAGACATGAGCATTAAATATAAGCTGACCAAATGGAAAGTCCTTTATTTGAAGTAAGTCAGACCAATTAATGGGATTTAATCAATTAATTGCCAAACCACCATAGATTATGGATCTTGATTAACAATGAAGCAAAATATCTTCAAATTTTTTTTTTTTTAAAACCACATATTCAAACGACACGATCAGCAGAAATGAAGAGGCCGTGTTTGCTATACATATTAGTAAAAGATAGTAGTTAAATTCTAATTAGTAGTCACTTAAGTGGCTGCCCCGTGCAAATACAGTATTAACAAGGAAGAGGTTGAGTAAAAGCTTCAGTGATTAGTGGCTTTAGATTGGAAGAATAACCCTGTAATTCTATGTGTTCAGAAGCGAAATGGGATCTGAATCCCATCAAATTTATTGGTGTTCTCATTGTTTGTGTAATGGTTTTGACAGTTCTATTGACGGCCTCTGTTATACTCAGGGACTTTGCTTCTGATGGCCTGAAGACTTTGGCTGAAGCTCCAAATGGTACTTCATTTTTCCATTCTTTAGCTTTTTGTTTAACTTATAGTAAATTCTACCCTTTTTTTGAGTGAATCAAGCTTGCCATAAGTAGAATAGCTACAACATACATGCATATGGACTGTCAGTGTACATATATATGTAGCCTGTTTTGTTTATGTGCTTTTGGTTTTTATAATAACTAGTTGCAGTTGCATCTTCATAGTTGCAAACATGCAGCAATATTGTTGTTTGGTTGAGAACTGATTCATTTGCTATTCCACTACTGAATCCATTTGAGAAAGTCAAAGTACATTCTCTGATTTTCCCTGCATTGTTACGACGGGGTAAAAAGGGATAGTTATTTGAAGACAACGTAATGGCTTTGAGTGCCTTCTGCAGACATTTTCTGTGTGTGTGTGTGTGTCTATGTGCATGTGTGCGTGTGTGTGTTTTGCTTGCAAGCTTGCTCTTCTAGTTTGATTGTGGATCTAACAGTTAGATAAATGCTTGTGATCTGTTTGTTTTACTGATAAAGTATGTAATCACTTTTCTTAATTGTTTAATTTCTTTTTTTGGTTTTTTCAGTCACAGTATCTGAACAATATGGTAATCATCGGCCAGTCACGGTGCAGAAAGATAAACTACTTGGTGGCCTTCTTCCAGCTGGAATTGATGAAAAATCTTGTCTGAGTAGATACGAGTCAGCCTTATATTACAAAGAACTGCGTCACAAGCCATCGTCCTACCTCATCTCAAGGATACGAAACTATGAGGCGCTTCACAAGCAATGTGGACCTCATACAGAATTATACAACAAAAGTGTCGAGCTTATCAAGTCTGGTCAATACATATCAGGTTCTGCAGATTGTAATTACTTGGTTTGGATTTCCTATAGTGGTTTAGGAAATAGGATACTAACCTTAGCTTCAGCTTTCCTATATGCTCTTCTTACAAACCGAGTCCTACTTGTTGATCCTGGAGTTAATATGCCTGGTCTTTTCTGTGAACCTTTTCCAGAGATTTCCTGGTTTCTTCCTCCAGATTTCCCTATAATCAATCAGTTTAATTCCCTTGATCAGAAATCTCCTCATTCCTATGGTTATATGGTGAAGAATGATATCATCATAGGAAATTACTCAACTGCCTCAATATTACCTCCCTTAATCTACCTCCATTTAGCTCATGACTACGATGATCAAGATAAATTATTTTTCTGTGACCAGGACCAAAGTTTTCTCCGCAAAATCCCTTGGCTTGTCATGAAGTCAGATGAATATTTCGTGCCTTTTCTTTTCTTGATACCATCGTTCGAGCAAGAATTAAGTAATCTTTTTCCAGAAAAAGAAACTATCTTTCATTTTCTAGGTAGATACCTGTTACATCCCACAAATTCTGTATGGGGGCTTGTTATGAGATACTATCAAGCTTATTTAGCCCAAGCTGATGAAAAATTAGGCATTCAAATTAGAGTCCTTGAATCAGATGTTGGTCCTTTAAAGTATGTATTGGATCAGATATTAGATTGTACAATGAAGGAGAATCTACTGCCACAAATGAATCAGGAGGAGCCAATAGTACTCAACCCGACGGGGAACAAGCAGAAGAAGAACATAGCCGTCCTGATGACTTCTCTAAGCCCTGGATACGCTGAAGAGTTCAGGAACATGTATTGGGAGCATTCTACCGTGACAGGAGAGATTGTTGGTGTTTACCAGCCGAGTCAGGAGATATATCAGCAAAGTGAGAATCTCATGCACGAAAGAAAGGCGTTGGCAGAAATGTATCTACTGAGTTTAACTGACAAATTGGTTACAAGTGCGCGGTCCACGTTTGGATATGTGGCTCAGGGTCTTGGAGGTATGAAGCCCTGGATCCTATACAAGCCTGAGAACAGGACAGCCCATAATCCGCCTTGTGTTCGAGCTGCATCATTGGAGCCATGTTTCCACGCCCCACCTAACTATGATTGCAAAAAGAAAACGGGAACAGATACGAGCAAAATTGTTCCTCATGTTAGGCACTGCGAGGATGTGGGATGGGGCTTAAAGCTATTTGACCAAAATGGTGAACTATAACAATGTAGGTTGTTAGCTTTATTCCCTTCTCTAAGGATGATGGTCAAAATGGTTTTCCTTCAAGATACATTTTGCTTTCTGGTGAACTGAAGGGTGGCAAGGATTTGGTCAAATCATGGTTTTTCAGGTTTGCAATTGTTTTTTCACCCTACATTGAGAAGTGGAAACTTTATTAGCTGATCCAAAGCATCACTAATTGAGCTCTTACTTCTGCGCCAATACAGAAAACAACTGCTTATTTACTATGATCAAGTTAAGTTAGAGCCAAAGCAAATGGACCAAGGTAGACAAAAACCAAATGGTTTGGACCTTAATCGTAGAAAGAGCAGCCCCTCACACAAAACATCCCGTTAATGTAGGGTCGGGAAGGACCGCACCCAAAGGGTTTGGACCTTAACCATATTGGAGAAAAATCATCCCTAAACGACACTCTCTTATGAGGGATCACTCCTTAATACACAATAACATGTCGGAGTCAAACTAAAAACAATTGGTTTATTTATAAATTTTCCCAAAATCAATTAATAACATCAAATTAGTTCCTAATCATATATCAGACAGATATGTTTCTTGAAAAAAGAGGAAAGAGCATGGAAGTCAATAACTTCAAAAAGGAACACCTTTAGAAAGTGGCACAAACACAGATAACATAAGTATAACAATTAGACGAGTAGTCTGTACTCTAGGAAAATTGATTTTTATTTTTTTTAGGATCTATATTTTGTCTTTGAGCAATTCTTTTTTTTTTTTTTAAGCACCCTATATTCGAAGTCCACTAGTCTTACTAATTTGAATTCTCACTAGAAAGATAGTAAAAATACTTTTGACTAAAAGATTCTTCATTCTTTAAGGCTCAAGAAAAAACTGCATATATGACATTAACTGGTTAGAAACATGAGATAGTGGCTTAGTGTACATAAGTTGGGTTAATCAAAATCAATCCAACCCAACTATATTAGTTTGGGTTGGTTCGATTTTGTTGGTTTTATCAGTTTTTTGATTTTTTTATTTTTATTATATGACTATTATTTCAGTCTTACTTTGTTAGAACGGTAAATAAAGTTTGATAAGTTAATACATGTTTAGTAAAAATTGAACAAATTAAGAAACATACGATCTATTAAAATATTTTTATGGGTAATTTTTTTTAGAAAAAACACATATACTTATTTTCTTAGTCTAACAAAAGTTTATCGTTGAAATACGCTATCAAGCTTAATAGAATTTTGATATTTAGACACAAAAAATAATATAAAACCTAAATAATGACATCTGCTGTTTAATTTTAAAAATTCTAGATAAAATACCATTTGAAATTCGAAAAAATATGAGAGTTTAATAGATCTTGACATATGAATATGGACGAACAAAGAGATTGAAGCAATTTAACACACTTGATAAGAAAGTAATGACACATATTAGATAAACATTATTTAAAGTAAATAAAAATGAATGCACTTGTTGCTTACAATTACACACGCAAGTATACACGATCAACAAGTAATAAAATGATGATAAAGAGTGTCGAACCAACAGAGATATATCATTAACTAACTACTAATTCAACTAAAATTATTTAACCAAGTGGATCACAAGTTGAGTTTTGTTAATAAACTATGGATGCGAATGCAAAACGATAAATTAAAATGGGACAATAAAGAATTATTATTTAGAGTTACTTCAGTAGAGATGAATATTCTAAGATTGTGGTAAGCCAATCCAATTGAGTTCGGAGTTAATTCTCCTCTAATTTGAATCACTTATGGTTGCTAATAGACCGGATCATATGTACACGTAGTATTCTTTCAAATTATTACTCGTCTGCCCAATATATGTTAATGCCTGTATTTCTATGAAATTAGTCTACCAAAAGCGCATTAAGATTACAATATTCAATTAAGCATGGTGGCTAGGTATAATTCTAGCCTAACCACAAATTCGCTCCCTATTTAGATATAAGATCATGCTTTCTTTAACTCTTTTCTAATCTAAAAATGGCTATTTCAAGCTTAATCTAGATAGTTAATAGAACTTAACTATCGGCCAGACAATAAAGCAATTAACACAGTTAAAGAAATAACCATATAATAGCAATTCGTATAAGAGGCAAAAATAACAATCAAACGTCAAAATATTCATGGCTAACCACACCCCAGAACAAAGGGACTTAGCCACGTATAATCATCATAATAATTTCACAAGTATTTGAATGATTAAAGTAGTAAGAAAAAATGAACAGTAGAACTCCCCAATCCTTGCTCTAATGAACTTACTCCCGATGTGTGTTTTGCCTCCAAAGTGTTGTGTTCCCTCAAAATTAGGTTTAGGAATCTTTTTATACAAGTCAGGCGTATGTAAGACCGAAAGAATTCTTTCCCAGGCGAAATAGGAGAGTTCTCGGACAGAGGGTCCTGGATAGCACGTCACACTAGTCTGGGCGTTGGACCCTTCCTCTACTTTTGCTTCATCTGCTTCTAGCGCCTAGAGCTGGCCTGGTCGCTGGATTTTCAGTTTCTCCAGTTTTCTTCTTTTTATGCTTCAACTCGTGCATGTTCGTTTCATTTTGCTCCCGATCGATTCCTACACATATGAACACTAGAATTAAGCTCAACTAATCGCAACACACGTGAAAATAAAGGAGATTCAAGTAAAATGTGAGGCAATGTACATACAACTATGCATACTTTTAGCCGATTATCATCATTTTATAGTTTTACTAATTATTACATCCCATGTGAGGGTTACAAATATTTCTTAAAGAAAATCCTATATAAAGTTTTAAAAGTATATTTAAAAATTATATAGTTATATGCTAATTTATGTGATTCGGTTTTCATTTTTTTATTCAATACCAAACCAACCAAGCCTAACGAATTTTTTTATTGGTGGGATTTGACGTTTCGATTTAATGTGATTTTCTGGTTTGATTTGAACACAAACGGTGGCTTTAAGGAAATTGATCCTTGGCTGAGGAGGACGTAAGAAATGATGTAGTCCAAGGAAGAATAGAATGTCAAAGTACTAGCTATGAAGACGTGGGATTGGAAAGCTAAGGATCCACTAAAACGAAACAAAGCAACATGGAGAGGTCCCACTTCGGTGGTTTCTAGCATGTGAAGCTCTAGAATGTCCTCCATTTGTTATGGCTTTAAAATATTTTTCAACTTTGCAAGCTTATCAGCAATAGTGATATACACTCATAGTGTACAGATTTTTACATTATTATTATTATTATTATTATTATTATTATTATTATTATTATTATTATTATTATTATTATTATTAATATTATTATCAGAGGCATGTTTACCCTCGAATCCGGATAACAATTGAATTTATATGGGGTTTTAAGGATCCGTGAACTAAAAGATACAAAAGGTTTTTAGGTTGAGGAAAATAAAGATAAAGACTCAACAATTGCTGTTAAAGTAAATAATCGCAGAATATAATATTGCTTAGAACAATTGTGCTTGATGATCTACCAGAATTTAGAGAGATCCCCTTTTATACATTCTGATTAAGGGTAAAAATAAGGTAGGTAAATTGATTACATCGTGGATCCCTGTAATTACGCCTTAATGGCCTGAAGTGGTTGAGAAAATCACGTTTGGGCGAGATATCCGGCGACGCTTGGTTATCCGTTACGAGTCCGGCTTCCGACCTTGTGTGTTTGGAGACTCCTTTCGAGCTCTGTAACGGTCTCGAAATGACTCGACCTCGGTTGTAGACGTGGCCGTCGTTCTACCTTGCATCCAGGTCGGGTTCGATGGCCCCGACTTGCTCCGGACCGGATCCAACCCGGTCGGGCTCAAGCAAAAAAGGGTATCACCCAATACAGATAGTCCCCTCGTTTATTAGAGAGTAATGATAATAAACGATATGACCGGTGACGTGATGCCCGTGACGTATGGCCATACGCCAGGTGAAAAAGCCATCGAGTGCTCTGACCACGCCTGCTGCAGGCATTTAATGCTTCTCTTAATTATCTGTCGCTTCGTGTTTGTGGCTTCGCGATTCGTGCCACCGCCTCATGGAAAAAGTATAAACGACCCTTCCAGGTTCAACATTTCCTATCTTTCTCAAATTCTGCGTTGGTCGTATTTTCTTTTCATCTCTTCGTAAAGCTTTAAGAAATGGCGAAAACTTCACAAAGTGTTCCTTCTAGACCAAGCTCGGCCGCGAGGCCCGCTAGATCTGATGAACATGCTCCACTAATATTACTTAGATGATTTTTGTGTAAATATTTGTTTTTACATCACTAGACTGTATAATAGGGGTATAGTTTTTGCACATCTAGACTTCAGTAAATCGAGAAATGACAAAAATTATTCCTTAGGTTTGGAGATAGGTTCAAAATAGTCTCTTAAATATCTTTTAAGATGTTTTGGCTCTTTAAATTTTTCAATAGTTAATTCTTTGGGTCTCCTTCGAATGTTTAATTAATTCTATCTATTAGAGTTAAAGAGAATTGTGACAAAAAAGATCGAATGTAAACTCAAATTTGAAGGTTAGTTATTTCAAATTTTGGTATTTTTGTTTTATTTATTTTTGGTATATGGTGGAACTTTTTAAAGTGCAATTTCGGTTGTTTTTGCTTTATTTTCAGTGTCTGATGTAATTTTTGGTGCTAAAGTTTTAGTTTGAGATGTTTCTGGTGAACTTTTATTTTTAACAACTCCCGTTAAAGTTAATAGAAAAAGTTTATTAAATATTTGGCGGAGCAATCATAATTAAAGGACCAAAATTGCTTAGAAGATATTTAGGGGACTAATTTAAACCTACCCCACACTTAAGGGACCGTTTTTGTCATTTTTTCCTAGTAAATCACAACGATCCGTTATAAATAGAAGATTGAGAGGTCATGTTTAATTTTCTTTTCCAAAGGGATCATATGTAATTTCCTTTTTTCCAAAGTTGATATGCAATTTGATCACAAGAAAATGACAAATAGAAGTTGACGAGCAGACTGCAAGAAGAGGAAAATTCTAATTCGGAGGCTAAGCGTTGTTTAAAAGGCAGCACAATCAAAGCGCAAATTCATATTACAATCAAATTTCCACTTTCACTATTCGGGTTTCTGTTAAAGGATTCTAAGGGAGAAAATGAATTGGATTCAACGCAAAATCTATCTCTACAATGTCACTTTTGGTCTGTACATGCTCGACTGGTGGGAACGTTGCCTCTTCAGTATCCTTTTTAATTTTTTTAGTCACTTGCGTAATAGATCTGATGTTGCTTTAATCTTTATGAATTCCAATTTATTTTGCTGATTGTCAAATGATTATATATGGAGAGATCAGATTTTGGTTGGATCTGGAGTTCTTAACGCGGTTAGATATTTTGGTGCTTGTGTTGTTGTGGTTTATGTGTTACAACGGGTTTCGTTATGCTTCCGAGCTTTTCAACAGGTATGTGTTTCATCCTATGTTACAATCTGAAAAAAGTAAAGTTTTATCCTAATTTTTTGCAGTTCGTTTAGTTTTTCAGCTATTTTAAGAAATGATTAAATATCAAAGGTTCTAATGTTTATTCTCTTAAATAATGGTGGAGCAAAAATTATACTATGTATAAAGTAAAATATTACACTACTTATTATTGATTAAAAAATAGACTTTGAACACCCCTGCATAGCCCACTAGCAATTTGGACACCCTTATTGAATTTTCTAGCTTCGTCACTGCGGGTACCTGCTACCTCTCATTGTACGAGGTAACTTCACCCACCAACGTCTAGGACCTTCTTGTTTCGATCTAAAAATGTGTAGATGGAAATAGGATGTTGAAAGGAGCAGCAATGGGTTTAGTATGTATTATGTAAATACACTAACATCATTAGAGCAGACTGATTGCCACGGTTTGCAGTTAGCAAAACTAGATTATAATGAACTTGCGTAATGATCTTCAGTTATGCCATGGTGCACTGAACTTGCATAGTGATATTTAGATGCGCCCTAGCATATTCAATACAGTTGCATTTCAATGAATTTAGTGGAAGAATTTGGCTAATTGTATGAATATGAGTTTCAAACTTTCAACTATTAATTATAGGCGGATTTTGATGGTGTCCTAGGATAAGAAAGGGTACTTGACGAATTTGTTTCATATCGAGATTAACTGGAGACCTGGACAAAAAAACCATGTCATCAGTCAATCTAACAAGCCATATTTTCTTAACATGGTATACCCATCAAGTCATCGGCTTGTTATTTGGTACCTTCGGAGAATTAGTTGTGAGCTTATGAGAATTAGTTGGTATACCCTTGGGCGTAACTTAACCCTAAAAGCTAGCTTATGAGTAGTGCAGAGCTAGAAATTTTACTAAGGGGTGTCAAAATACAAAAAAGTAAAGACACGAAGAAAATAAGGGGAGTCAACATATAATATAGTACCATAATAATAATTTTTTGACCTAGTTAAACATTGTAATTTTCCGGTGAAAGGGCGTCAATTGACACCTCTTAGCATAAGTCGGGGTGAGGATTGACCAAGACCATATAAGGAGACCAAGTATCAACACAAATGTGGTACTCTTTAACATTATTGCAAAAATGTGGTTTTCCTGTTTTGATCCCATAACTGTGAATCAGACATTGTAATGCCAAGTTTTAGTGTAACAACTATTTTGGCATTGATCAGATGAAAAATAGTTCTCACAGAAGTTCTGACTCGTGATAGCTTACCATATCTGGCAGCAGAAAAGGGAAAATGACAACCTTGGAAGGTTAATATAACTGGAATATATATGAATTAGTCAAATTTAATTTGACTGGAAAAAATGTTTAAGTTAGAGTAATAAAATAATGACATCTAAATCCACCAGTTTCAGGCCAAGAACACTCCATTTTGGCAACCTGTTTCTTATTTTCTTCAAATTTATGCCATTTCTCAGTTTGCCACCATTGTCCTGTATAAGCTACACCAAGTGCTGCGATTTCTCTTTTCACTTGATTTAATTGTTAAGATTTAAGTTTGATACAAGTTATTCTCTAGTACCTTGTGTTAATAGATACATGTTATTTTTTGTATAACCTGTCATAACGGTACTAACTTCCTTAAACATATTCCGTGCTAAGTTGCTCGGACACGGTTGCGGTTGTCCGACATGTGTGCCGATCTAGAGGTCGGATTCTTCGAGATGTAAATTCTAAGATTCGTGAATAGGGATCCTAGTACGGATACAGGTGCGCGGGGATCCGGCTAAAAATTCACAAAAATAAAAATATAAAATATCTCTAAATTATGAATTTTTGTGTGGAATACTTACGTATAGATTGTAAAGTGTGGATTTCTTTTGGATTGATTTCCTAGATAAAGTATGTTATTTTCTTGATATACATTAGTTTTGGTTCTGGTTTCGGGAATCAAATTGTATCTCGTCTTGAATTTTTCCGTTAGTTATGGTCAAAATACCCAAAATTGTTTGACAAGATCCGGTTCGGATCCCATACCCACATCCATACTAGTGTTGTATCAACACGTTGCGGGACTTAAACTCGGAGCAACTTAGATTCCCCGGGGGGTGAGGGTTGTTTTTGGAACTCCGATCGCAAAGTAAATACCTTTTGATTGTTTGAACTAAGTCATTAGAAAGAAATGAGTAGGAAATTGGGGATTTAAAGCTAACAGGTGAGCCTGGAAACGGGGTTGAAGAAGAAAAATAACTGAAGCAACTGCATCTTTGGTAGTCTAGTGAACAGAAAAAAGGGAAGCCCCTTTTTATTAATACAATATAGGTTGGTTGAGGAAAACTCCAAAACTAGGGTTCCAAAAAGCTTACCTTATATTATAGAAAAGTTTGAGAAAGGGGCCCCCCTACTATACCCCTAAACTACAAGCTAGCGCACAACGGCTGAAAAGCCGCTGTTGCTTGCTGCTTGCAGGCTCGAAAATCTGTCTCAATTCTGATTGATTAGCTTCTTCCGTAGCTTGCAAAGTTACAGGCAGTGACAACTGGTTTGAAGAACAACGTAAGTTTTCAGATTTGTTCTGTCTGGGCTGCTGCAACCCCTGTTATTGAGCTGAGTCTTAATTTGCTTTGAATTGTCAGTCCATAAAGAAGTATTTGGAAGTCATACTGATACCATTTCATATGATCTGTTTCTGATATTTCTCTAGGTTTACCTGAATTAAAGCCACTTGTGTTCATTACTGTGAGTCTGTTGCAAGCGATTGCTTTTGTTGATAGCTCAAATGAGTTGAGAAATACCTATACAGTCAAACCTCTCTATACCAGCCTCGTTGTATATTTTTGGATGTTATAGCAAAGTGTTGTTATATAGAACATATATAATAACATAACATGAAAATTGGTTCCGGAAAAGCTTGGCTTTTATAGTGAAGTGTTATATAGGGATGCTGTTATAGAGAGGTCTGACCGTATTTCACATTTTGATGTATCTCTTTCTTACGATCACCGTTAAGATACTCTTTTTCTTTTTCCTGTCTGATGTTTGATTCATTGGGAATACTAATGGGCAACTCTGTTGAAAGTCCATATTTATGGTTTTGTGTACCATAATTAGTTGTGAACAATATTTCTAATCTTTTTCAGTAATTGTAAGCGAGTTCCTACTCATCTGATCGTAGTTTCTTTGTCTCAGGCAAATGTGGTGAAAGGTCATCAGCTGGGCTAAGCTTTGTTCTTGACCTTAAGTAAGAGAGATATGTATGTATGCCTCTTTTGGCATTTAACTTGTAAGCTTGTTGAAATTGTTTGCTCTTCCATGGATATAGTTGGCTTGGTTGAAACATGTATTGCTGTTATTTTCTGATTCTTTAATGATAGATGGCATTTAATGTAATAGTTCGAATGATCAAGCAGTGATAGTTTAAGTTTGAAATTTTCGCTGTTGTGAGGAATACTTTCAGATTAGCTTATCAATTTGAAGAAAGCATGTTGCTTCATTTCTTTTAATCTTCAAGAGTAATATGAATTTGAGCAGATTCATACCCAGGCATATACTCTACCTGAGGTTCAACCTCCTAGTGTATTTTAAAATGAGATGTCCATTAACTTCAGTAGCTCTCTCTGATATGCCCTACGCTTTGTTCACCATTTACCCTATTATGCCTTGTAGTTTTAGATGCTTACTTTGAAATCGGCAGATGTATTTGGGATTTGGGTGAGTGACCTCCTTTATCCCGGAACGTAATACGGTAATAGATGAAAGAAAACAGGTTGATTCATATTTTTGTCATCTTCAAGAGAAACTTGAATTGAACAGATTGTTATAGCCGGTCATTTAATGCTTTGAGTTCAAATACAGACATGCTTCCCTGTTTTATTTACAAATGGGTTGGGATATAAAATCGAGTAGCTCTAGCCCCCACCCACCTGTTTTTGAATGGGATACTTTACAGGTCAGAGAAAAATAAGATGTGAAGGAATAAGGCTAATAATATTATGAAATAATAAAAGAAGAAGAAGAGGAGTATTGCAGAGAAAAGTAGGGAGAGAATTCTTATTGCTTTGGGATGAATTACAATGGAATAGAACCCTCTATTTATACGGAGAGGCTGACTTAGCCACCAAGTAATAAACCCTAAGATCTCTCTAAAATATAGACATTCACCATAAATAAAATTCTATTTATAACATTTCCCCTTGAATGTTTATTTACCAGATAATGTGCCTCGTTAAAACCTTAACTAAAATAAAATCCAATGGGAAAAAAAATTCTAGAGAAGGAAAAAGAGTACACATGTTTAGAAATACGCCTTTTGGTTGCCTCAATAAAAACCTTACAAGGAAAACCCAGCGGGACAAAACCTTGTAAGGGAAAAAGAGTGCAACGTGCATTAACTCCCCCTGATGAGAGCATCAATTCACATCCTCGAGTATTCGCATCCCGATCTTGTACACTAGCTTCTTGAAGGTTGACGTCGGTAGAGAATTGGTGAACAAATTAGCTATATTATCACTTGAACGAATTTGTTGCACATTGATATCACCATTCTTTTGAAGATCATGAGTAAAAAATAATTTTGGTGAAACGTGCTTTGTCCTGTCTCCTTTTATGAATCCTCCCTTCAATTGGGCTATGCATGCTGCATTGTCTTCATACAAAATCATGGGTAGTTTGTCACATTTCAAACCACGTTTGTCTCGAACAAGATGTATTATAGATCTCAACCACACACACTCTCGACTTGCTTCATGAATAGCAATTATCTCAGCATGATTAGATGAAGTAGCCACAATTGATTGCTTAGTCGATCGCCAAGATATGGCAGTGCCTCCACAGGTAAACACATAACCTGTTTGAAATCGAGCCTTGTGTGGGTCAGATAAATACCCAGCATCGACATAACCAACAAGATGGGGACTGCAATTATTGCCATAAAATAAGCCCATATGGGTAGTCCCTTTTAGATACCGCAATATGTGTTTGATTCCATTCCAATGTCTCCTTGTGGGAGCAGAGCTATATCTTGCTAAGACATTAACTGAAAAAGTTATGTGAGGCCTTGTAGTATTAGCAAGATACATTAGTGCACCAATTGCAATAAAATATAGTACTTCAGGACCAAGTAGCTCTTCATTCTTTTCTTGAGGTCGGAATGGATCCTTATTCACATCAAGTGATCGAACAACCATCGGAGTACTTAATGGATGTGCTCCATCCATGTAAAACCGTTTCAATACCTTTTCTATGTAGGCAGATTGATGGACAAAAATTCCGTTTGCCAAATGCTCAATTTGCAAACCAAGACATAATGTTGTCTTTCCGAGATCTTTCACCTCGAATTCCTTCTTTAAATAATCAATTGCCTTTTGGAGTTCTATAGGAGTTCCAATAAGGTTTATGCCATCAACATATACGGCAAGTACAACAAATTCCGATGTTGTTTTCTTTATAAAAACACATGGATAAATGGCATCATTTATATAACCTTCCTTTAATAAATACTCACTAAGACAATTATACCACATTCGTCCTGATTGCATTAGACCATACAAAGATACTTTGCAATTTGATTGAAA